GTGTGACCTGCTTGAATTCATTCGTCACCACCATGTCAGTTTCGAGGCCCTCCTGCCTTGTCTCGCCGTCGTGATTTTGTGCCTGCACATGTGGCCTCGATTCTATCAGGCACCATTTGTGTTTGAACAGCGGTGTGACCTGCAGCCTCAGCTTGATGTGATCACATCTTGGAACAGTGGGCCATTCCCACTTTGCACTTCTGCCGGTGTGGCAAAATATGTTCGCATTGTGAGTGCGGCTTGTGCTGCTAGGACTTACGTGTACCGCTCGTTCGATCACGCCAAAGGGAATACCAATCATTTGTGGAAGTCTTGGGGCGCTGATATTACTTGTTTACAGGAGACCCGCATCGGTAAGAATAACGCGCGCACTTCCACCAAGAATATTGAGGCTGTTGGTTTGAAGCCCATTCTGGGTCAGCTTCTCCCTGGCCTGTGGCACGCTAATGGCGCAACCAAAACTCCCTGCGGGGGGACTGCTATTCTTGGTGCTGATTGCCTCATTACCCCGTTCGAGGTAACGCACGATCAAACAGGGTTGTTTCAACAATTGTTCAATTCTAAACGTGTTGCTGCTGCGTGGTTTCAAGTCACGCCAAAGGTCAAAGCTCTTGTTTTCAGTGTGTACGCTTGCACAGGTGCTTCAAGCGATTCGAGGGTCCACATTGAGAATAATAAACTGTTTAATGATCTTTTGGTTGTGATTGCACAATTCGGGGAGATTCCAGTCATTGTCGCTGGCGATTTCCAAGCCCCTCCAGGGTCTTATGAATCCTTTGCCGGAGCAATTAACTTTCAGGGATGGGTTGACCCTTTGTCAGCGACTGATGAGTGGGGGGCACTCGGTTCGGCCCTACACTTACTCCAAAGATTGTTCATTCTCTGGGGCGGATGAGGGATGCACCTCCATTGACGGGGTTCTCTTGAATAAGGTCGCATTTTGCGCCATGGTTGATGTTCAAGTCATGGAACACCGGCCCATTAAGGTCACCTTCCATTGGGAATCCATTCGCCAGACAGGCTTTATCCTTCATAAATTTGCTCCTTTGGATGTTTCTGGTGTTCCCTCTGAGGAGTGGAGTGATGAACCTTCCCCAGTGTGGCAAGAGCACTTTGCCCAGCGCTTTGAGAGTGCCCCCTGTCACGAAAATAAGTGGGAAATTGTCAATGAGTTCTTCCAGAAAACTCTCCTTGACCAAGGGGGTGTGTGGGGATCGGGACCACGAGTTCGTGCAAAACCCCCTGTCTTCGTTGAAAAGAAAGTTTGCCCAAAGCAACTGTCCACTAAATGTGCCGCAACACGAGTGTCACTTGACTTGTATAAATTGATTAATCAGCTGGATGAGCTGTCTGTTCGGCTTTCACGGGCAGTTGGATCTGCTCAGGATGGTTTCAATACCACCAGACTTGCCTTGAAAACCTATTCGGGGGTCCAACGGTTTTGCAAAGCCATTGTCTGGGCTATTCCATCCCAACCAACCTTGGTGGAGCTTCACTTGGTGCGGCGATGGGCTGAAACGTTTGCCATGACAATCGACAGCCGCATTCGCCTCAAGCGGGTTCAAAGTTGGAAACGGAAGATTAACCAATCTGCCGAACATGGATGCGCATACATTTTCCAACATCTCCGCCAAAAAGCCCAAGATGAACCCCCTAACTTGGTCACCAATAGCCATAATCAAATAGTCACCCAGCCCGAGGAGGCTATTCAGACTTTGAATGAAGTGTGGGGCGACATTTTCGCTGCGAATGTGTTGTCTGAGCTAGACGGGTGGAGGACACAAGAGCTTCAAGCCATGCACCCCTCATACTTTCATGTTCTTGCCTTGTTTTTCAAATCTCTTGAGGAGTCTGATGACCCCTTGCCAAGAGCCTTAGTATTTGCAAAGCAAGTAATCTTGAATAAGCCGGGACCGGCTTCTGCTACAAATAAGAAACAAATCACAGTCCTTCCTCCACTTCTCCTCGCTTACACGGGAGCGAGATACGCGCAGTTGCAGCAATGGCAACAACAAGCATTTCCTTCAGCAATCATCGGAGGTGTTAAGCACCGAGCGATGTCCAATTTGTCAAATGAAGTGCGCCTTGAACTGGATTCAGCAAATCTTGATGGGGATACTGTGGTGGGAATCAAACTCGACAAATCTAAGGCGTTTGACCGAATAATTCCCCAATTTGCCGCCTGCCTGTTTGTCGCTTTTGGTATCCCAACTCATGTTGCCAGCATTTTTATTAGAATGTATCAAGGTATGCATAAGCATCTTGCCTTTAGGAGTTGGACGTCACCTGTACCAGTTACTCATGCAAATGGAGTGGCACAGGGCTGTTCCTTTTCGATCTTAGCCATGAATGCTTACAACAAGGTCTGGTACCATTTGATCGAGAATCTTCCAGGGATTGCTGTCCGTGCATACATCGACGATGCATACTTATGGTGCCGCATCATTGATCTTCATCATCTTAAGACTGCTGTCCAACTTACAGGTGTCTGGGATGCATTAGTGGGCCAAAAACTTAATACTGGTAAGTCTTCACTGTGGTCCAATAATGCACATGGCAGGAAGCACCTCAAAGCCATGTTTGCTGATTTTGCTATCGTCACTGAGTTTGAAGTTTTGGGTACCCGCATGTACACTTCTGCCAAATCGCCATTTGGGTTTTCTGAGAAATCCTTGAAGCAAGCTTTGTGTGACATTGACAATATTGCCGTACTTCCGGTGTCGCAGAAAACTAAATCTTTCTTGATAGGAGCCACGGTTATCCCAAGACTCACTTTTGGTGCGCATATTTCACGCATTCCCAAGAGAGCACTTGACCAAATTCAAAATGCTATTGCGCGTTGTCTCTGGTATGGTAGACCAAAATGGAGATCTAAATGGCTTGTACAGGCTGTCCTGTCGGCACCGCATCGTACTGAACCGACGTTCGCATGTGCTTATCAGGTAGTCCTGGAAACAATCCGCTCGTGTCACCTACAACCTGCTATGTTTTTGCAGCTCCAACGGACCATGGGGAATGCCGAAGCTTTGCCACACTCATTGGCGAACCGGTTGCTGTCGGCGTGTGAAACACTGGGATTGGAAATTGATAATAATCTTTGCTTGTCCTTTCAAGGGTCTAACCCAACTTGCATTACTGAATTGTCCCCACAAGATGCAAGGAGAGCTCTTCAAGCCGTGTGTAGACATTCATGTTATGCTCGTGCAATTAACACCCCTAGGAAGGATTTTTGCAAACCTCAGGGCATATTCGATCAACAACTTTCCACTTTGTTCCTTGCTCGTGCACCGGCAACGATCCCCGGTGAATTGCCAATGAAAGTGAGGTTCGAGTCTGTTGTTGTTGGTTGTTCATTGACCAATGATCGTATGGCTGCAACTGGATGGTCATCTTCTTCGGATTGTCGTTTTTGCCAAACCACTAAGGAGTCCATGAATCACTTGACGAGTGATTGTCACGTCTTGCACAGGGACATTGGTGCCCCGGTGGATCACCAGCTTGGCCGGAATTTTCGAATGTTAGGCCATGTTGAACATCCCAAGTTTATTGGCCGCCGAAGATTTCTACATCAGTCAGCTGACGATCTTGTTCCTGCAGAGTGCTTCAACCCGGACGGACTGATCCGGAGATGGACGGATGGCTCCGTTGTGAACGGTGAAAACTTCTGGTTGTCGGTTGGAACATTTTCAATCATTGATGAAGGTGGCCAAGCTGTATCATGCGGAATGGTGAGCCATTGGGCGTTGTCGTCCTATGTAACCGAGCTCTGGGCAATTTTCCAAGTTTTCTTCTGTGCTTCAACGCCAGCTATAGTGTTCTCAGATTGCCAATCGGCAGTTTCGCAAGTTGCTTCCTTTTTGGCTAATGGCATTATTGATGTGCGTTGGCAATGTCAAGCATGGTGGAGGAAGTTCCGGACGTTGGTTGAGCTACGCCGAGGAATCCATCCGAGGCCTTTCAGTGTGACATGGATACCGGCCCATGTCCTTGAGAGTGTTCCGGACTGCATGGTCACAGAGGAAAACGCCCGTGAACACGCCACTACAAAGCAGCATATTTTGTTGAATCGTGTGGCTGACCGAGTTGCAAAACACCTGGCCCATCGACTCTCTCCGGTTGACAGTGCAGTTCACCTTCAAGCCAAACAAGAGATTTATAAACATCAGCATTGGTTGTCGGTACTACATGCTATGCTCCCTACAAAGGCAGAAGCAGCTGATGACACCACGGTTGAGGGTGTTCCGGAGCTTCCAGAGAAGCTCACAGAGTGCCAAGCGGCTGCTCTCTACCCACAGTGGCACTGGTCCACACCGATCACTCAGTTTCGGTGGAAGGCCAAGATCCCTGTTGACATTGCATCTCCGAAGTCATGGCGACACGGTCAAGAAGCATGGAAAGTTGTTGTAAAGTTCTTGTCAAACTTGCAGTGACATGCTCAGGAGAAGAGTCCATTTCCTTTTGCGAAATTGCAGTCGCATTCCATGCTGAAGGTCATCGCCTGCCAGGCGTTCAATCTGACCTCACGTTTCGTGATCTGTACAAGGTCTTGCGAGAGGCCCTGCTTTTTCTTCACAAGTCTGACAAGGCCCAGCCATTTCCAGGCCACTTCAACTCCACCAAGCCAAGAGCTTGTGGGCGCATTTTGCCCCAGGGTTGCATTGAAGGTGCAACGCCTTTTGTGTCGGCCAAAGGCCTCACGATGCTTGCACAGCTTTTTTGTGTAGGTGCGGATCGCCGCCTGGAAACGTGGTCGATCCCTGTACATGAGTGGTGATTGCATGTCTCTTTGGGGAAACTCCCATGTTCGGACCAGAGTGTCCGGCATGACATCGACTTGGACCGATGTGCGAGAGGTAGTATGCTGTAGGAATCTGTAGGATTTGATTTGGATGTTCGATGCGATGAGGCCCCGGCCACATCCATCCTTCTGGTCCTGATAAGCTGGAAGGCCAATTTATAAAATGCAAAATGGGGCCGCTCATGAGGACAAACAAGAACGCGAACTCTTTGTCAATTTACCTGCTGCCGCTGGAGAACCGGCCATGATTTCCATAAAAGGCTGAGTAACACGAAATGCTCCGCAGCAAGTCCTTGTCAGCGCCGCCATGGAGCAACGCTTGCAGAATCTCGCCCTCGCCCTCCTTCGCCGCTTTGTGCAAGGACCAACCTCAGCCCCGGGCTTTTGACGGACGCGCGCAGCGCTAGTTTGCCTCTTGAAACCAATACCATGCCGGCTGGGGCCTTCGCAGTTCCACCCGTCCAAGGGTTTGTCAGAAAGGGTCCAATGAGGTCGACAGCAGATGTCATTGGAATTCATTGGTTAAAGTGGAGGCTTTATTGAAGGCATCCGGTGGTGTGGAGAGCGGCATGAAGATGTTGGAAGCTTGTCTAGGGTCTTGGCTTCTAGCCCCGTTCAAAAGATCCGAATGGCTTGTTAGCAAGACCTTCATCAGAATGGGGCCAGGGACTGCAGTGATGGGCCAGAAGAGTCAACTGTTCAATTCTTGCGTAGCTCGGAAGTGCATTTGATTCTAAACCAACACGTCAGAAGAAAAAACTGAATGATCTTGGAAGGAGCTATGAACGATCAGCAAGGTCCAGCTCAGAACCACATGCACCATTTCTTGTGAAGCCGCTCGTGAATCATTGAAACAACTATTTGCCCTGGTCAACTCGTCCGCTGATGTGAGGAAACCTTCTGTAGGTGACGCAAGCCAGCAGGCAACCTCCCAAAACCCTGCAGGATGGGCTCCAGGCCGGTGGTGTCGACAGGAGGCGTTGAAGCCTGTGGTACCCGATTTTAGAACCCGTTCAAACTGCTTGGAATAACAAACGCGACAACCTTGTCGCAGCAAGAAAACGACCATGGCGGTCTTGAGTCAGAGTACAGGAAGTAGAGTACAGGAAGTAGAGCTATGTGACACCAGACCGCTTCCACTCAGGACAAAGGGCCCAACATTTGGGTTGAAACCCTGTGCCAAGTGAACCCTTATTGAGCCAATAAGTCCGGCCAATGAGCCCAGCCATGAAGCCCTATCAGGCAGGTGAAAGGTCAACCATTTTAAGCTGCCTTTAGACTTGTCGACCTCCCAGCACGTGCCAAAATCAAAAACGACGGCCCTGCCATGCCCTGCAACCCTGCCTCTGGGGCATAGCCACCCGCCTAATCAGCAAACACAGCCGGCCCAAGCACAAAACGCAACAGCGCAAGGTCTAATAGTCTTGATGTTCACACGGATGGCGAATTTCGCGTCGGAGCAAAGAATTGTGTTCAGGGAAAACCTGCAACCAAACCTTCAGTGTTTTTCAACTGTCTACTCCACCTCTCAAATCGCCTTATCAATATCTTATCAACTGACTTGTCAACATTGGAAGTTGGTACACCCGACCCATCTTCGCACCTTTGAAGAACTGGCCGGCTGGGCAGCCTGTGGAAACGATCAGGCCACCCGGCTCATTCAGAAACGAAATGGATCCTTTTGGAACAAGCCACTCAGACCACTCAGGATCCACAGTCTGAGACCACCCTCTGCTTTGTGGATCCATTGTTGGGATCTTCGGACCCGCGTCGTGACCACACTGCGGCAGCGGCTGTTTTCAGAAACGACTTGGGCGCAGGGGTGCCAACCAACCAATCCGTACCCCTACCGGCGCCAACAAAACAACTGCTCCAATCGACCCAACAGTATAGCACGGGAACACATGATCCACTATAGTCTAGCGCGGCAGGCTGTTCAAGTGTTTGAATGCGTGTATGTGGAGGGAACTGCGCACTGGCTGAGAATCTTGGAAACCCACGCTGGCTGGAAAGTCTGGAAACCATTGGAAACCTGAAACCTACGCATTCCAAATTGATTCGCCAAAGGGAGGGAATGCACCAAGAAACAGAATGGAACGTAACGCGCTTGTTCCCAGTTCTGAAAGGATCTGAAATCCGCATCATCAATGGACAGCACCACATCAACTTAAGATCAATATGGTTCTTGTCATCAACTTGACTCTTCCTGGAACGTTCCGCAAAAGGCAGAACTTAACTGCCTGTCACGACATCGAAGAGTCAGGTGGCTTCTATATCGACATCGATTCATCACATTATCCTCATTGAAACATCGTTTTCATAACAACACCTCTGTGTATACCAAGGCTCACACCACAAACAACACAAATGGGAAACATGGAAAACAACTCTACAAACTCACTCTTTGTCCTCAAGAAAAATGGCACTCTGTCTGTGATAGTGCCATAGATTTGCACCATCAACTTGATGCAGGCTTTAGCGCCACGCGTGCGCCACGTGCGCAATGTGAAAAACATGAAAAAACTCCGTCGTGCACCTGGTGAAGTTCAGGCTGCGAAGGATATCCAAGAGATGGACTGACCTGCAAACATGACAAGCACCAAAGGGACAATGACGCTGGCGACAATGTACCGGATCACCACTCGAAGGAAGAAACATGAATGTTGCTGGCAAAACGACTGCTTCATAAAAGAAATGTGCTGGATCAGCATCAGAATCACTTTTGCGGGGCTGTCCTGGGGCACCACATGGGAGAAACAACTTTGGTCCCCTGATGCTGAAGCCGTTCATGGGTTGACGGTCGACCGCTTCAACTCATGTCGTTGACGGACACAACGAACGGCGGGAACCGTGGCGCAACATGGAGAATGAATGAACGGCACAATCAATGGAGTGTCGTTCGGACTTAATTAACTTTGCAAGTTGGCCAAGGCCACGACTGATTGGTTGGTCTAGAGCTCCTACCTGCTCTGCCTCTGGCCCCTCCAGAATTTTGTTTAAGCGAGCAGGCGCAGAATTGCGGTACCTCCGCTTTTTGGCTTCGCTTTCCTCCTGCTCGAAAGCTCCTACCTGCTCTGCTCTGGCCCTTCTGGTCTAGAGCTCCTACCTGCTCTGCACTGCCTCTGGCCCCTCAAGTTTTTTGTATTGGGCTTCGAAGTTGGCGTCTGGGCGCAGAATTAGATGGGGGGAAAGCCGTGGCGGTATTCCGCTTCTTGGCTTCGCTTTGCCTCAGGTGTAAAGCTCCTACCTGCTCTGCCTCTGGCCCTTCACGCTTTTTTGTTGGGATTTGAAGTTGGCATCTGGCACCTGGCATCTGGCACCCTGTCCGAGCCCTTTTGGGCGCAGAATTAGATGGGTGAAATCCGTGGCGGTACCTCCACTGTTTGGCTTCGCTTTGCCTTTGGTCTAGAGCCCCTACCTGCGCTGCCTCTGGCCCCTCAAGCTTCTTTTTTGGGTTTCGACGTTGGTGTCTGGTCAGGATCGTGAATCCACTGACAAAAAGCATTTGCTGGAAAATAGGGGGGGCGGCACCAGGGCGTTAGCCCAGCTTGCTATACGGAGACGTGCCACATGCCGCCGACCTCTTTTCTAGCATCACCAGGGCTCATGTGGCTTCGTAAATGATCAAAAATGGTCACCGTAAAGTTTATAGCTTCAAAACCTCTAGAAAATATATCATTGAAGATCGAAACAGGTGTTGAGGAAAATTTTTGGTTGAGCATCATTAGCATCAGTAGAGTCTCAGCAGGAAAGATGCAAATCCCTTGGTGCGTGACCAGGCGCAAAACACTGTAAATTACAGTGTTTTTGCCAAATGTATGATGTAGTTTATCCACAGTGCTGCTCGTACTCTGGTGATGTCAATGGTCCAATGGTGTTCAACACAAGTAAACTTTCTCTCCCTTTTGCATACTTTCTTCTCTAAAGAGATAGCTTTACAATAGCAATTGTTGATCATTTTCGTCTGCTTTTGACGTTTTTTGACGAAAATACAGACGTCCTGGTGATGTTCAAAAGGACGGTTTGCGGCCGACATTTCTAGCGTCACGATGTATGCACTTTTGTCAAAAACGTCGAGAAGAGTGTAAAATTGAACAAAAATGGCTACTGTAAAGCTTTATCTCTAGAGAAGAAAGTATGCAAAAGGGAGAGGAAGTTTTGAGGTAGCATTTGTGTCAAGCACCATTGGTATATCACCAGGGTACGAGCAGCATTGCTCATAAACTACATACATTTTGCCACGCACCAAAGGATCTGCATCTTTCCTGCTGAAACCGGGCTCATATGTGGCTTCTTCAAATAGGGTGAACCTGTGCGCGTGCGTTCGTGTGCGCGATTGCGTGTGTGCGTGCGCGCGCGCGAGTGCGTGTGCCTTCCTTCGTGTGCGTGCGCATTTGCAAATGATGGTAAAATGGCTATGATGGTTGGTACGATCTCCTTCAATCCAAAGGTGATGTAAATCCTATAAGGTTGTCTGAAGCTGAGGTTGCCAGGCTTTTGCGCGCGCACTTGCGCGGGAGTCTGTCTGCGCAGGCGTCAGAAGCTCGTCGCATTTTGCTGCGCACAGAGCCTGCGGATACGTGCAGTCCTCCCAAGGGCATCGCCGGTGGGCGAAGCCAGTCAGTATGTCATGCCTCCAACAAGTCCAGCAGTCAAATATTCATATCAAACACCAATCGGACCCCCTCATGAGTATGTGAAGCAAAAGCATAGCGGTATTGTGATGACTGCTAGTTTGTATCATCAGCACACTATTCAAAATATTCAATGCGCGATACAACCACTTGTCAAATCTGTCACTCTGACTCTGCCTCACCACTGCCTGAGGAAGGTCCGGCTGCCTGGCCAAGAGTATAAACAAGTCAGCGCCAGTGAGCCCTTGTCGATTGCTGTCGGGCTTTGGACTGGACTCAGAGACTTTTGGTCTTGGAGCTCAACACAGCAACCAACATGGTCACAATGTAAAACCGTTGATGTCATTGAACCGCAAACGTCAAACAGCTTACAAACATGCAAGTCGCGCATGAGCACTTAGCACTGTCTCCACAAAGTTCTTGGGCCTTCCTCCCTCTCCCTGGCCGATCTCCTTGACGCGGTCATCTGTGTCCAGCAAGCCCATGCCTTCTTCGCGTAGGTTCCAAAAGAAATCGTTTTTGGGGCCTCCTTTGGCTAGAACTGCTCTTCCATTCGCAGGAGGCTTTACAAAGGCAAACTCATCCGTGCAAGATTTGTATAAGTGGAGGGAAAGCGCAAAGTCGCCAGGGTTGTCACTTCCGCACCAAACTTCGTGAGTCCACCAATTCTGCCGATTCAGCCATGTAGTCGCGGGAGCTTTCAGCATCAGCTTTTGGTGCTTTCCGTGCGGGAGCGACAGCCCACAATCCCCATGTTCAAATTCCATTGGGGTCTCATCAAGCAAAGTCTTGTACAAGTAGCAGTGAAGTTCACCATGGAGTACGCGAACGCTGCCTGCACATCCTCCATGGTGGTGCTTTGGAGATCGATAGCCCTGAGGCCAAAGCTCGAGAATGGCGGTCAAACCACCCAACTCTCTAAGACCGAGACCAATGCGAATGTAGGTTTTCTTTGGATCCTGAAACATCGTCCTGGCATCCTGACTCTTTTCACTCAGTCGCTGTTGTAATGCTCCATTTCGCAAGGAAGCTCTGATAGCCTCGATGTGTCTGGGCAGTACTTCATCGACGAATCGGTTAACACCTGGTCCGTGGGAGAGCGCACACACTTTGCTTGCATCGTCTGGGAGATCAAGATTGGCGCTCTGTCGATCATAGAGCAGTGGCAGATTCCGGTCGTGTGCGACGTACTCTTTGACTTCCAAATGCAACTTCTCCTTGGTGTCCACGGCATGACATTCCGACACCACCTTGTTGCAACTGACGCAAATGCAGCGGATCTTCAACACGTCAATCTCCAGGTCTCTCTCCAAAATCTGCTGGTTGTAGAGGAAGAGTTGTCGGGGAGTCCGTTGATTCCATGGAATGACCTGGTGTCCAAACTGCTCCTGCTTCTCTCGGAAGATAATGTCAGGGATTTTGATTGTCTCATCTGCAATCTCAGTGATGTCGCGGTCGTTCTTAAAGACCCGGATGCGGCAAGGTATCCGGGCGTTGTCGGTGACGCCCTTAAACCTCTTTCTCTCTCTGCACTGCAAGTTTCGACAAGGAAAGAGACAATTTTCAGTCAGCTCTTTGAAGGTCTTATCCAACAGCTTCCGTTGCTCTGTGCCAAGCAGATCTGCTCCAACTTCGCGGGAGCCACGGCTTGCCATGGCAACAGTCAACGCGTAGGCAGGCAAATTACTGGAAAGACCCGAGGTTCAGAAGAAAGGACATCACAATATGATTCAATCTGCTTCGCATGTGAATGATACCTTAGTGGCTTCAGCCCTTGCAACTGCTTCATGCATTTGAGCTGAAAAAGTTCTGTGCAGCGAGCAGATCTGAGTACTCCAACAAAATTGCTCCAAGAATGTGCAGCATTTGCTGCAGAATCAATAGTTTCCACCAGCACGTGAGAAGACTCATGACAGTTGCATCTCACGCATTTTCTGCCAAAATCAGATCGCTAAGAGCTCCCTCCGACCCTCAGCGCGCGGAAGGTTCTGTCGCTTGTGAATGATGTGCTCCTCCTTCCACTGAGGACCGGAAGAGTGTTTCTTGTGCGAGATGTGAGAGCCTTACATGATGAATCGTAGCATCGACAGTGCGAAGCTTGTGGAGTCGTTGGATTTTGAAGGGCGTGGGCTGATTTTTCACAGGGATGGGGCCAGTGCCGAACCTCAAATTCTTGCTAATTCTTGGACTGCATACTTTCATCATCCCAATGGTCGAAGAAGGTTCAAGAGACGACTTCATCCCTGGCTGGGAACTTGGAACTCGGCAAATGCCACAGACGCGGCTATGCAGGTCCGCGTGCTTAGGTGCGTTGCACAAGTTTAGGAGAGATGCATTACTGAGCTGCGAAAAAGTACTTCACCATGGGATTACTTATTGAATGCATGGGTCCTTCATCTAGGCTCCCAAAGACTGAGATCGCAAGCTTCTCCTTCGTCAAGGTCAGCACGGAGATGTCCAAGGACGATGCCTTCAAAACCAGTCCACAACAACATTTAAAATCTTTAAGGGTATGGGTAACCGAAGAAAGGACAACATGGAATCAACCCAAAATCTTTTGCTGCTGTTTTACAAAATAACAGGATTCCGTTTGATGTGAAGTACCAGCACGTGCTGGAGAGTGGCATCTTTGCTTCTTTATCAAGTTCTGAGGAGAGCGCAGGTTAGAGAACACTCTCCTTTTCGCCGGGAGCCTTGCGTTCAGAAGTTCTATCTGAAGAATCATTGACAATCTTGAAGGCCATAAAATCTCAATCAATTGTCAATGCCTCGTGTGTGGGCAGCCTGTTCATGTGCATTTCATAAACGATATAGCCAGCAGTCACGACATGACTATTCGCACGCTGCACATATATGCCCACCATGAGGATGTAGGCGATTGGCACCAGGCAAATGACATCAGCTGCGACTTAGCAAACCCGCACGATTCCCGCGCGCAGGTGTTGCTTGCACGAGCTTGTGAATTAGTGTAGCTCTAATCTCTTACACGGGATTCTGCAGGACAGCGTCGTTAATTTACGGCTTACTCATGGCTTATGTGCATCCTGGAATATCATTTCGCTTTCTGTGCCATGGTATTTTCGCACGAACTTACTGTATGTAGAGCATACGCAATGCCGGTATATTACCCATTATGTATGACGTAGAATTTAGACTTTGGAACGACATTTGATCATCCACATCCAGCCCTCTTTATGGATGACATGGCAGTCGAGACGTGGCACCAAATCTCCTTCAGACAGAAGAGGACACGTGGCACCACGCACCACGTCCATACGCTACAACCTTGAGGATCGAGCTAGACAAATCTGTGTTCACTGTGTTCTCTTCCCTGTCACCGAGCTCCCGACACTCCTGACGATGTGCTCCCCTGTGCTGGTGGCAGTCCCACCTCCAAGCGGCACTCGGTCGGCACAAGCTCCAACGCAAGGTCCAACACAACACAAACCGCCAAGTTTTGTTAAACACAGTTGGAAAGGGCCGGGCAGGGTGCTGCTTGAAAACGAATGGTACTTTAGATATCACAACCAAGTTGGCAAAGCAAAAGCAACCTCTGAGTAGCACAAGCACAAAGACCACAAGTCCAGTGGCATGGTTTTTATGCTGGTGCGGAGGGATTCTGATGTACTTCGGAGGATATCGGGAATATCCATCAGAAACACGCCCTGTACTAGTACCAATGCTTGTGGAGTGACCCTATGGCTATTCGGCTATCCCTTGCGGCGCAAGCCCACACATGAACAAGGGCAGCAGTCGAATCAAAGACCAGGATCGGAGACCAAGAAGGTCGAATAGGAGACCAGGAGTCAAAGGCCAGGGGAATAGAAGCGGAGACTGGAAACACCCCATCGGACAGCGAAACAGAATCGGTGATCATAGAATCAGAGACTACAAAGCCAGAACCCCAAGCCCAAAAGTCCAACCCAGATCGGAGACCGACCGAAATCGAGACCGCCCACGCCCATAGGTCCTAATTCAATTTCTGTCCGACTGTCCTTTCTGATCGAATAGAAACCCCGCCCTGGTAAAGCAGGAGAAAACCAAGGTTACCAGGGCAACTGGACACGAAATTGGACTGCATGTCTTGCATCCCAGCCAACACCTAGATAGATGAACAAGTAAATCTAGATAGATCGACAAACTGACAAACAGATCAATAGACAGGACCATTGACATCGACCCATCGATCTAACCCGAAATCAACCCCGAAGTCCAACACAGATGGGTCACCGACCGAATGTCAACATTACAGTGTGTCACCGTGCATCTGTAGATTATCAGAGACCTCCTGTGTCCAACCGCTCGTACACCCCTCTGTTTTTTTTTAGGGCTCGCAGAAAGAGCTTCCGCGATCAAGGGCAGAATTTGGCACAGGTGGAAGGTTGGGGCAAGGCGGTGAACGTTTAGAAGTTGCACAGACTTGGCCTCTTCCACCTTTCGCTTACAGCTTGTGAAGGGCTAAGTGTCCCCAACGAATAGCTCTAAAAGGCAGTTCGGACCAAGGAGACTCGGCCAGGAGAATAGCCATCCCAATGCAACGCACCTTTTGTGAGCAATCTGAAGATATAGACAAGGAGCCTTTTCAACGCAGCATATCTTTTGCAACCCCCAACGGGTGGAGATTAAAACAAAAACGTGATCACAAACACCATCACCACCAACCTCACCCTCCCCAGCGTGCGACTGGTCGCTGATCCGCTGAAACCTGGTCGCTGATCTGCGACGTCTCTGATCCATGGTCGCTGATTCTGGGGTTGTGTCTGGTCGCGGATTCGGCGCGGTGGTCGCTGGCTCGACGTTTTCTCACATGGGAGATCTGAGGGGTGAGCGGGGATCGGTACCGAAAATATACCCTTGCATCTTTGACAAAATCACAAGCCGCCATGGACTTCGGCAACGATATCATTGCGATGATCAGCCAAGTCGAAAAAAAACATGGCCATATACAGCCATATCAAAGAAAACACAAAAAAGGCAAAACACACTAACAAATCGTCATGGGAGAAGAAAACGGCGGCAGCGTCCAGAATTCGAGTACCAGCCCCTTCGATGAACAAGCCACCAACACCCTTCGATGAAGAACACTAGCCATCCACACATTCACCAATGTGCACTCCTCAATAGCAGATCTTCTGTGTCCACCACATTATTTTGGATTTGTGGGTGGGTATTCCAATCCTGCTCAGGACAAAGGTATGTGCAGGACTGGAGGTGTGATGTGTCTTTGTAATCCACCAAGGAAATCATGGACTGATGTAGCTCCTTGAATGCCTGTGCTCCCAAGTGGAAGTAGAAGCGGGTATTGATGGAGTGTGCACAGCTTCATGAAGAACTGACAAAACCCCAAGGTGAATCAGCTGGAGGCTTGACGACCTACTGTCAAGGCAAATGAATCAAGTTTGGAGGCATAATAGACCACCCAAGGCTAGAACTTCCTGTTAGTGAGGGGCTGCCTGGCCTTCAAAGATCGCAGGATCAGCAACGCCTGCAGGAGTTTGCGCGCGCGCGCGCGCAGCACGAGAGTCGGGAGACAGAACTTTAAGGAGAAGTATATAGAAGCAAGGGAACAAAGAAGTTCAGAGTGCAAGCATAGTCTTATCTTAACACTGAATTGAACTATTGTAAGATATGTTGCCCCCTTGAAAAGATGAATGTTGGATTGCCAAAATGATTGGACGTGGGGTCCGGATGCAAGCTTGATACCTTCTGAGGCCCTGGCCTCGTCCCGATGTCGATGGTCAGCTGATGCCACTTAGAAAAGAATGAAGCGTGCCCATCTTTGCATAAAAAGGTAGGAGATGGACCTGAGATCTGAATGTGCCAAATGTTTACCAAATTTGGCGAGAACTCCAGCTGCAGGCGAATTCTTCTCACGGACGTCGAGCAGCCACGCGGAGCTGAACTCTGTGATCTTCCCTCGGCGCGCGAAGGGAAGCCACACCCCTCGAATCGAAGATGAAGCGAAATCCGGCCAATGGGCGATTCCCCCAAAACACATGGCCAGGTCAACACAAGAGCCGTGAGTCAACACGAAGCTGGAAAGGCTACGGGTATATGGTCTTTATGCCAGACAGGTGATGCACACTATTGCACACAGCTAGTGCTGGTCACCAAAACCGTAATGATCTGAACACCGCGAATTGTCCACGTGACAAAAAGTACCTACTGGCTGCCAATAATTCATCCAACTACTACTTCCAGGAGCCAAAGGGTTCGAGTCTGCTTGTAGTTTGCTTTCACCTTCCCCACAGACCACACACTCAACCACAATTCCTCACAAATTGACACCGTCAATGATGAGAAGGCTTCACAAGAATTTGCGGTCTTTCGAAGTCTTTCAAAGCATCGACGTGGGAATTTTTCAAAAGACGGCCGGTTACGGTCGCCACAAGAACTACTGGTCGCCACATGTGTGACCTGTTTGTCCGTAGGCACCCTTCAGTGCATTTCAGCTTCCGTTGCTACTAAAGGCATGGGAGTGCTAGACTTACCATTTGTCGAAACACCCAAAGGTGCTTGACGAGAACTTGCAATGCTTTCGCTCGAAGCATTGCTCATGAGGGTTCCATAGTGCTCCACATTCGATGTTCGTTGTCATGCGTTTTCCTGAGTCCACGGTTCCTCCGTTCCTGCCATGGTAAAAACAGTTCTGAGCACCAAACGAACGCCGAACTGTCGAACCAGGCGACGTCTTTCTTCCTCAACCGGAGAGTGGCACCCGGGTGTCCGCATGCGCATGCGCCAAAAACTGTTGGTATTCCAGGCCTCGTGAGCGCACCCAGATCGGAATTCGGAGTTCGCCAGGTGCCTGAAGTCTGACGTCTGAAGATCTCAAGGCAGAAAATGCTGAAGATCTGAAAAGCTTGCGTTACTGAGTTGCTTCTGCTTTTCACTGTGAGTGCGGAGACCAGTAGTAGCCATTTGCCAAGCTTTGCCGCCAACCTTCACTTTCTTCACCTGGCGAACACGCGGGAAAGGGCCAATCCCAAAAGCCTGTGCTCCTGCTTCCGAAGTGTGTTTGGCCCTAGAAGCTCCGAACACCTGAAGACCAGCACATGCAGGGAGGAATGTCACTTTTGGGCGTGCAAAACAGGAAGAATGAATGAATACGTCAAATCAAAGTGTTTTCTTTGCGTGCTACTGACTACTGGACTTGCTTGTTCAAACCGCGATACACACCAATCGTGCTTTCATTGCAGGACCCTGCAGTGCGCCAGTGTCTGTTCAAACCAACTTGTGATATTGCCACTTGGTCGTTCTACTGTTTGGTTTGAAGTTTCTTGTTTGCGACGGTCTGCTTGGATCTTGGTTATGGCTCGTCGTTTATTGTTGGCAGCTGGTTGACGGTTAAATTGCAATAGCGTTCTGAAGACAAACTGAACATTGAACATGAACCCTATGTCTGTGGACACGAAAGACTATCGGACTTGACAGCCGCGAAAACGTTCGCTTGCTACATCAGCTTTCCAGTGCAGCACAGCTTTTGCCCTCTCAAACAAGCAGCCCTTGTTTGTCTACATTCCATTTAATTACGAGGCCTCCTCATTTGAAAGAAAATGAAAGAAACCTGGGATACAATGCCACTTCTGGCTGCCCACAAGCTGTGCTGCTTCAGCTGTGTCGCGACAAACCACAGGTTGAGTCGCCGCTTCGGGGGCCACGGGGCCAATAGATCGGTGGATTCTCCCGGGTCGAAATGCTGTCGGGCGGGCGTTCGAGCAGTATATAACCCACGTCAGAAAAAGGGGGACAGGAGCCAAAGGAACCATACACTTAGGTCACTACTCGATGGACAACTGTATCCGCCCATCCACAAGGCCCTTAGCTTTAGTGCCGCTTGTTTTTTCCACCTCAGTGCTTCTTCTTCTGAGCAGTCTCAAAAGAGCGGTCGACCCATGATTTTGGGTTGGGCAAACGCTCGATTTTGCACAGCTTCAGATGGACTTGCGCTTCCAAGATGGGTATGCGAGCTTTCATCGTCCGAGCCCATAGAGACACCTCCAGACGGGGCGGCGGCAACGAGCGACAGCGTGACAGCTCTCACGAACCCAGCTGCTCAAGGAATTGTCCATGAACTCCCCCAGTCACTTTGCAAGATTCTGCTGACACACGAAAGAACAAGATGCTCATGTCTTTGATGTCCATGTCTTCTGGACTGCGGTAATCAACCAACCCATCCAACCCAGAAGAATAAGCTCCACTCTTCCCCAAAGCTTCCGAGGGGCCACCAAACCGACGCTGCCTTCCTTCCTGCACAGACCTCAGTTCCCGTCCAAACCGCCCGTCGCAACCGTCACCGGCTTGTCCTGCCGGCTTCGCTCCGAGTGGCCTTGGGCTGGATGACAAAGGTTGCGAAGAGGAGCCAAAGGACATAAGGCCTCGGTGACGAGGTGTGAAGCACGAAAGGACACGCCTGGCCAGGTGGAAAAGGAAAAGCTGGCCAGGTAGGTAGGTAGGTGTTGCAAGAAATGCAAACAGCCAACAAGCACCACGTTCATTAGAAGGAGAAGGAGCAGTTAGTAGCAGGAGTAGTGATCGGACTCGCAAGCCCTCACGAGTCCAAAAAAGCCACCATGATGCCAGCAGTAAAAGTACTTAGTGGCAGCATCAATCTCTGGCATCATGGCGATCTGGTGCTTTTTTGATCACGATCGTCATGCGTCTGATCTAATGAACACCGAAAGGCACTTGCAACGCCAAGGGACATGTACATCTTGTTGGCATGCACGCCCTGGCTGCACCTGGGCTCATTGAACCGAGCGGCGACATGTGAAAAGTAATCAACCAACCTGGTAGCTGGCAGTTGGATGGGCTTTATGCAACGCCTCCCTGCAGGTCTTTTGCCAAAAGTTAAGGTCTCCCAATAACAATGCCAAGGCCAAGAGGCTTCCAAAGCGTCCAAAGGAGTTCATAGTAAGAAGCGGTTTTGCTCAACACCGGAGCCAACCTTCCTGCAGCGAGGGTCAAGTACAGTGTGAGGACGCGATGAGCATGATCCTTCAACTCTGTCTTGTAAGGATCCACGGCAATGAGCCCAATGCAAAACAGCCCTCACGTGGCTACCAACAGAACTCTGTCATCAATTAAGGGACCCTGTGAAAGGTCGTTTAGGGGGAGTCCGTGCAGTGGGTGGGATCAACAAATAGGAAAACACACAGAAAGAAACTACTGTATAATCACAAAAACATGAAAAGCGCATTCTGGTTGAACTTTCATACATTGGGCTTGCGCGCTCGAATTTGGCACTCATTCGCCTGAACAAGAACTCTCCTACATGGTGTCGAGCGGCCCACGCAAACACCGAAGGTCAGAACCCATTGCCACGTGCACAGGTAAACAAGCGGCGCCCCATAGATCATTCTCTCGAAGAAGTGGTAATCTAAAGTCAGAACTCTCCATCCGAGCACACACATCACCAAAATGGGAACAAGGAGAGAGAGAAGCAGCATAATGAGAATGTAGCACACCGTCAGAGTCTTGCGAAAGTCCCTCAGTTCAGGATCAACGCTCTCGAAGACCAAGTTCCGCAGGGCGATCAGTTGCATGTGGGCTCGTCGTTCACCGCCCTTCAAGTCAGAAAGGCGTGCAATGACGTAACCAGGATCCAAGCGGCCCCAAAACAGCGTGAAGCGATGCTCATCTGGGGGTGTCAAATCCTTCAAACTATGCATGAAAATCTCTTCATTGATGGGAAATTCCCAGCAGAGAAGTTCTGCCAAAAATCCTGAGACGAGATCTCTGCTACAACATGCAGAACCAAATCGGAACCAAATATACTACGAAATGTTGAAAGCTTTGCAAACCCACCCGTCTGGTGTCAATTCACAGGACCGGACAAGCAACGACTTGAAAGTTACCTGGTTCAACAAGACTCAACCACTTCCAGTAATTGAAGAGTCACCAAGTTCAGTTAAGAATTTACCAGTTACCACTTCAATACTTTACCTGTTACCAAGTTCAGTTAAGATTCTGAAATAGCCGCAAGAGCTCAAAAACTTTTGTCGCTCTGCTTTGAAGAGCTCATTCACTCGACTTGCCACCATGTCCAACAAGGTATATTTGGGATCATGGAGCCGCCAAAACTTCCGCATCATGTCCGCCATCTCCTTGGGGCTAAGTTCATTTTTGGCCAATGTGTAATACAGCGACGCCAACTCTTCCGCGCGCAAGCTGTCGGGGGTCTGTGCTTGGCCATCGATCATCGACAACCGTGTTCAATCCAAAAAGGGACTCCAAGCTTGAAACTGACAGCTGCAGCTGGGATGCAACTGATCCAAGTGAAAAAAAGAACTATCCCACCCTCAACAGTTGGCCTTGAGCTTTCAGTGAACCAGTCAGGGCAGGTTGGCCTGCCGTAAGTCTACTCACCTGACTCGTGCCTGGGAGGTGCATCCGGACGAACCGTTCACCACGGCCCGTCGCGTTCGGCCGATTTCGGACCTCGCCGGACCCGGCAGACACGGTCTGGTCACCGTTCCGGACCGTGCGGTCACCGGCCGTTCCGGGCCGTTCCCGTTAAGGGTGAACGGGTCACACCGTGCGACGTGCGACACGTGCGGTCTGTCACCGGCGTTCACTACTCCAATCAGGTTGCATATGTTCTTCTACTGTTACTACCAGGGTCCATTCTTTCTCCATGTCCTTTGGAGGAAACGTGTCAATGCTTCTGTAAATCAATCCCAACCGATTTGGAGCAAAAATGGAGATGGAAAAAGTTCTTTCAGAGCATTTATACAGTTCTGAAGCGGGCTACGGCTCTATGCCACCCATCAAGGTCTCCACATTTGCACTCGATTCCAAATCCGTTCGTTCCAACCGGCTGCGTTTTCGCAGGAGCTTCCAGGGCCAAGCCACCCAGGGTAGCAACACACAAAGTTGGTCATATCACATGCCAACACTGTTGGTCGTTTTTCTGTGCCTTTCAGCACCCTTTCGGTTTCTCAATGTCAATCAAATGAAACAGAAACAAAAAGTCCAAATTGAAACATGCCAATCAATCGGACTTTCTGTTTCTGCCACTTGTAAAAATGGTTCCGCCCAGATGGATTCATCAGCAGGGTCTTGGCAAAAGTGATGCCATCAACTGCGTCACCTGTGCCACCTGCGTCCCATGGCCAAGGGCCCAGGGAGCCCTCTCATCCAGTCTCTCAAGGACCGCCCAAACACGAAAATGGTTTTACCCGGAGTCAATCTTCAAAACTAGAGAAATCTTAAAATATCGATAGATTGATAAAACATTTGGACACTGAAAATCCGCAGACCTCCATGTTCTGAAGACCTCCCCAGAACTGACCACCAAGTCCCTCCATGGTCAAAAATTGCTTCAACTTTACGGCCAGTTAGTCGCGTGACAGGCACAGATCTGTCGGGTGAGATGTTTGAGTCGAGGTGAGATCTGAGGTTTGGTGTACTCGATGAGATCTGAGGTTTCAGCTTTCGCGATGGTTGTGGTTTGTCTTGTTACTTTGTAGTTGTGGCTTGTCTTGTCTCTACTCTACCTGTGCAAATGTTTTCTCAGGAAGGTCATTACTTCGCCAAGAGGTACCTCGTCGTGGTCTTAGTTGTTAGTATCGGCACAATACCAATGCGAATGAGCGTTGCGTATTAACAGTATTAACATGTGTGCGCGTTGCGCTCACAATGAAGGAAGGAATCTCACCTCACTAGACACCTTATATTGCAGCCAAACATGCAAGCCACTTGTCATTGAGAAAGACTTGCCCACGAAGCCTCAAGCACTGGCAGTGCTGGAAAGCATCCCAAAGAATCCTCGGAAGAAGCCCCAGCAAAAAGAATCCAAAACCGGACAGCCTAGCACAGCCTAGCACAGCCTAGCCGTTCCATCCTTTGGTTCCTTTCTTCGCCCGCAGCTGCGAGCAAGGCAAAAACTCCCTAAGATCACCACGTGACACCAGTCGCCGTCGCCGACAATCCTCACCATGTCGCCATGTCGCGACAATCCTCACGATGTCAACGTTGCAAATTCTGAGTTTGTGAAAGGTCAACGATGGTCTTAGCCGTCTATACCCTCAATCTTGGCAGAATCACCTTCTGGTCGTTCTGCTTTCAACACCTTGCAACTCAAATAAGTAAGAAGCTGAAAGGTCAGCATGGCTTTGCCGCTACTTGTGGCCGGTCACTTCCTGCCTGAATCGATGGAAACACCGCATCTAACAGAAAGAGATCACTCAGCAGAGAGCGCCTCATGTTGGCGCTTTCTTGTCGACTCGACTTGCTCTGCCTCCGAATGAGTGCATTGAGACGTCTTGCAGGATCTCTTCGAACTATCCGAACTAAAACGTCACAAGACAGCTTATATAACTTGGCTTCGTTGCCCAGGCCCTTCGCCTTATTGCACTGACGAAGACCGTCAAGCCTCCAGAAGCAAAAACTGCTCTGATCAAAGTAAAGGCTCATGACCATGGTTCTGATGAAAGGGTCTCTGATGTAGGACAGGCCTGGAAAGGAATCATCTGCACATGGGCTCTGCCATCCATGAAGCACTGCCGAGGCACAGCCGAGGAAAAGAACGGATGCCGCTGTGTCTAAGACCGCGCCGCCCCAAAAAATGGCACGACACACCGTCCGCGATGTCCGACATGGCCAAAGCCCCAAAGCCCCAAACACGGAACATCCCTCGATCGGATGGAGTTTCGTTCGACTTCGACTTCAACTTCTCCCTCCCTCGATCGGCGACCGGACCGTCGGACCGTCTCCACCACGGCGTCGTAAGAGAGGCCACCGGTGGCGAGCGAGAGGCGAAAAGAGAGCCGTTCGGCCGTTGTTCGGATGTTCTTTTGGTTTTGAAAGGTTCTTCTTCCCCTTTTTCCTGGTGGGGTTGGAAGGCCGACGCTGGGGCTGTTGGCTACGACGTGGGTCTGTTTGGGCTTAGATTGGTACATCTGTCGCTGGATCGCATACCTCCAAATTGAAATTGAATGGAGCTAACAAAGTTATAAAGGCTCAGGAGATTTGATAGAGCGGCATAACGAAAACAAAGCAAATTGAGTGTACCAACTTGGTTAGGTCAATGGCTTAGGGATTGAAGAAAAAATATCCTCAAGAAAAAGATGAGGTGTGTGTTGAGTCCAGGCACGCTGGTTACGTTTTCTCATGTGGAGGAACATGAGTGTGCAGGTCATTGTGTTGTGGTTCAGAGCACGCACATCTACAATCTACAGAGGCAGCAAAACAATGTGGTGAGATTGGGTTCAATGCAAAAGAGCGACACATGCCAGAATACCTCGAGCTGCCTTGGGCAATTCCGGCATACGGTTGACGAAGCTCGAAGAAGAATTTTTTTTTGCACGGGTACGGGCGCTGTGTGTGCCGAGGGGCACAAGTCACCTTGATTGAATTCAGAAAATGGGGTGAGAAGATACGAGCCTGAACCAACGAGACGAACCAACGGAGAAACCAACCCAAAACACACCAAAACCCCCCCAAAAGCAAACCAAAGGCGAATCAGGCTCATATCCGCTCAAGATGTAGAGCGCAAAAGTTGAAGATCCGAAGATCTAACACAGGAGTGAAACGGGGCAATGAATTCTCGTTCTAGGCTGCACTCAGTTCAGCATGTCTATAATGAATCAGCTTCCTGTTTGCTGAGTGGCCGGCTTCGAAATTGGGATGCTGTGCTTCTCAGTCGTTGGTGAGCAAGGCTGAAAGCAGGATTGAGGTACTTTCAAGGCCCGTTCGGAGCAGGCACGCCGAAACTTGTATCAAAGAGGACGAACGAGCCATTGCAAACTGTGAGTTGCTCCTAAGTGGCCTACTCTATTACGAAAGATCCTCAAACCATGCGAACAAAATTCCAGCCTGCTCGCGGCCTAGGCATGGGTGTTGCTGAACAGTAAGTACTTGGCCAGGCGTGAGATGGGACAAGCAGCGGACTTCGCTACTTGACAGCATGAAAATTCACAAAGTCAAGAGAACGGGAAGTTGTATGGTGCGTGCATGACCACTTGCAGTTGCCACGATATTTATCCCAAATGGCACAAAGGGATTATTGGTCTCCCAAACGAGCGTGAAAGGGGGGGACGATCGCAGCAAGCAGTGGCATCAAAGGAGAAGGAGCTGCAACAACGAAGACAGCCACCTCCCCCCAAGGGGGGAGGTGACGAGTGCGAACACCCAAAAAGCAGTTCCAAAAAAGAGCCTGACGAACGAGGACTGCCATGGTCACTCAGCGTAGCAAGACTCACCGCATCAAACCTGCCTCGAATGCAAGTCACTCGAAGGTGAGCAGGCGTAGCAGAGGGCGAGCCTTAACAGCTTCCATATCTCTCCAGGGTCACGCGAGTGCACTGGAGTTCACGACATCACGCAGGCCCCATGAACTAAGTGAAACGGTGAAACGCCGCTATTCCTAGTGCTAGTGAACTGTACACTGTACCACGCCCTGACCACCTCTTGGGAGGCAGCCAGGGGGAGCTGGCTATCTACTCAGTTGCGATGGCTGAGTTGGCATTTGGAGCAACGGACCTGAGACCCTCTGCCGATCTGCTGCCATGAGCCATTTAGCCAAGCTACTCTAGGATTCCCATCCCTCGACACTTCCGCATGCTTTGTTACCTACTTGCGGCTGCATTCAGATTGGTTTCTGCACAACTTCGCATGCAGTCCTCCACTCTTCATTTGCTGCTTTGGGCTTGGGGAGAAACCGAATCCATGATGGGAGTGCCAGCTTGGTGCACAGCTCGAACGCATTGCGTTCTGCGTAGGTGCCCCGCCAAGTTCCTTTCTTGCCCATCCGGACGAGTTTGCTTAGCCGAATACCGCCAGCAAAGGCTCGTTTGTTGATGTACAACAGGGCGGGTGGAGTGTGTATCTCTTCAAGAGCGGTACACTTCAGGAAGGCATCTCGCTCAATGCGTCTCAAGGTCTGGGCCAACTTAAGATGCTGTAGTTGGGAACAGCCTGCGAATGTGCCCCCCTACTATTTCGTTGATGTCAGTCCGTGAGATGTCCACTGATCGCAGTCTGTCACAGTGCTCAAAAGCAGCCGGTCCAATCCAACAGAAATCGGCTGGAAGGTTGAGCGTCTCTATCCCTGCCTCAGAGAAGCAGCCTTCTGGTATGATCCGATTCGGGTCTTGTGGAGTGTAGTCCGTCCTTTCCAAGCCAATTGACCGCAAGCTGCGGCATTTTTCAAAGGCTCGGGTGTGGAGACACGCCTGCGGCGCAAGCTGATTGTCACTTTTGTCTGCATCTCCCACCCGGGCTAACGCATGGCACTCCTCAAATACCCAGCACCCGAAGTTTCTGCACTCTGGGGCTGTGATCGTGTGGAGCACATAACATCGCCTAAACGCTCCGTCTTTCAGGCATACTAGTGAGTTGGGCAGGTGTACTATCAGCAACCTGTTACAATGTTGCCAGGCTGCTTCACCAATGGTGTGCATACCTGCTTCCACTTGTAGATGCCTTATGTCGTTCGAATGCGTGAAGGCATGAGGGAGCACTTGCCCTGAACGAGTGGGCGGTACTTGGATTGCTTTAGCGTTCCTCTTCATCTGTCCTTTGTGCTCTGCATGAGAGCAGCATTGGCGGACAACGACGTGAAAGTGGTTGCAGTCCCTGAGGGTGTCCCAGATAGGGTTCCGCAGGAGTTGACCTGTATCACATTGAACGAAGGAGAGTTCACACCCAAAGGTGCTGCTTCCTCCTATGGTCGGGAGTTGCTCCAGAACAGCGGTTTCGAACTCATCAAGTCGATCAAACTCTTGGAGATCAACGATAACTTGGTGGTCCTCTCCAGAGAGGGATGTCAACAGGAGGTGGACCACCAACTGTCGTTCATTGCTGACGAGTGAGCTCGTGTGCGACTCCATGTCACTATGCATGGCGGCGCTACTTACTGTATCTGTACTTGCTACTGGGGGTTTGAGCCTGGCAATGCAGAGGGGCAGCTGCTTGGGTAGCCGTCCATGCACACTCTTGCTTGGCACGACCCTAGTGGTTACTTGGCACTCCCTACCACACCTGTGTCCATATGGGCAATAATAGGTAGCGTTCGGTCAAATACAAGGGGCAATCCAATCACTGTCCTTAGGTGGGATGCAGTGAAACCACTTAGGGGTGGTTAGTTTGGCACGCCCATCGAAAGCATTGTCGGCTGCATAGGGATACCGCCATGCCTCGTACTTGCTCCAAGCATACTCCAGGCAAAAGAGCTCAGTACAATTGCCAAAGGCCCTATACCCTAAATAGCGAATGCAGCTTGGGAGGATCAGCCTCGCCAAGGATTTGCAATCTGCAAACACTTCTGCTCTGATTTCTCTCAGGCAGGCTGGCAGTGTGATTGCTTCCAAACTGTGGCATTTCGCAAAGGTGTGCATGTGCAGGATTAGGATTCCTGTGTTGGCAATGTTCACATTGGCAAGCGATTTGCAGTTTTCAAAGGCTATATGGTATGTATCCTCTCCAAGTTCCACTTGCTGAATGCCGCTTGCGAAGAAACATCCCTGCGGCACTCCAGCCTGCGGGGAAGTTAGCGTGCTACTATCTACCACCGCTCGTACATGGGGGAGGGAGAGGTGCGTCAGTTTAGCACACTCTTCAAAAGCATATTGACCAATGATGGCTCCTATCGCAAGATAGCTGCCTCCGTCTGTGATGTTCCCGACACACTCCAGAGCGCAACACTCTGAGAAAGCCCGGACACCCAGCTCAACACATCCAAGCATCTCGACTGTCTGCAGGGAGTAACATCCCTGAAAGGCTGCATAACCAACGCTACCACTGTGTCCGGCAGTTTTACTACTCTCAAGGAGTGACAGTATCGCCAGACCTGCGGACTGATTGTGCTGAACCCAACGTCCAAACTGACGTGCCGAACACGTGCGGTTGAGTGGAAAGCTTTGGCCTCAAGGATTCCTGAGTCCGAGATGGGGACTCTAATTGCTTTCGGGCAGTCTTCATAATCGAGTCCCTGGAGGGGCTTGTTGTTCTCCAAACTGAGGAAGCAATCATGCACAATAAGGCAAAAATGATTGCTCTTTCGTAACTCTTCTTGTCTAGGGGTCTTGAAGTGCAACCTGGGCATCCGCGTTGATTAAGGTGAGTTCACAGCCAAAGGTTTCAATAAGGCTGTTGCGCGGCAGGTGTTCGACCAGGTACTCTTCCAGCATTTTCCACGTATGTTATGTGAAAGCTGACAGGGACCTGTAGCTGGATCACCGTGCCAGCCAGTGTGGTGAGGTACAGTCGGAGTAGGCTGTCGTCCTCCCAGTCAGCGTTCTGTGCCTGGGGCTGGGCCATACTGGTTCCGCTCTTCGGGTGGATAATGCAGCCAGGACGGTAGCTACCCACTCCAGCGGCCTCAGCCGCACCTTGAGCCAATGGCTGGGCACCAGCAGTGGCATCTATGCCTTGCAGGTTCAACACGGGAAGGACACCGGAAGGAACCGTCAACTGTTACCCAGGGATGATCTACCCGCAGGTCAGATAGGTTCCGACAGCATCTTGGGATGCCGCCTGAGGCACTGCGAAACCACTTGTGGGCACTTCACCCACCGCAAGAGAGCGTTCTGTGTTGCGAAAGGTTGTTCGTGCAATCTGTCCTACTTCAGTGACTGTCATCAGAGATGAGAGCGTTCTACATGACAGCTCCGAACCCCCTAGTCCAGAT